CCCTTTCCTGGATGGATCTCCCCTACCAGGCTAGCCTGGCTCTTCCCTTTCCTGGATAGATCTCCCTGTCTCACCAGCTTCCTATCCTCCTTCCCCTATCCTGGATAGATCTCCCCTATCTGGACCAGCATAGCTCTTCCCCTATCCTGGATAGATCTCCCCTACCAGCCTAGCTCTTCCCTATATCCTGGATAGATCTCCCCTACCAGCCTAGCTCTTCCCTTTCCTGGATAGATCTCCCCCTACCAGCCTAGCTCTTCCTATCCTGATAGATCTCCCCTACCAGCCTAGCTCTTCCCTATCCTGGATAGATCTCCCCTACCAGCCCTAGCTCTTCCCTATCCTGGATAGATCTCCCCTACCAGCCCTAGCTCTTCCCTTTCCAGGGATAGATCTCCCCTACCAGCCTAGCTCTTCCCTTTCCAGGATAGATCTCCCCTACCAGCCCTAGCTCTTCCCTTTCCGGGATAGATCTCCCCTACCAGCCTAGCTCTTCCCTATCCTGGATAGATCTCCCCTACCAGCCTAGCTCTTCCCTATCCTGGATAGATCTCCCTACCAGCCTAGCTCTTCCCTTTCCAGGATAGATCTCCCCTACCAGCCTAGCTCTTCCCTTTCCTGGATAGATCTCCCCTACCAGCCCTAGCTCTTCCCTTTCCAGGATAGATCTCCCTACCAGCCTAGCTCTTCCTTTTCCTGGATAGATCTCCCCTACCAGCCTAGCTCTTCCCTATCCTGGATAGATCTCCCCTACCTAGAGCTTCCCTATCCAGCTCTTCCCCTATCAGGATAGATCTCCCCCTACCAGCCTAGCTCTTCCCTATCCTGGATAGATCTCCCCCTACCAGCCTAGCTCTTCCCCTATCCTGGATAGATCTCCCTACCAGCCTAGCTCTTCCCCTATCCTGGATAGATCTCCCCTACCAGCCTAGCTCTTCCCCATCCTGGATAGATCTCCCCTACCAGCCTAGCTCTTCCCTTTCCAGGATAGATCTCCCCTACCAGCCCTAGCTCTTCCCTTTCCAGGATAGATCTCCCCTACCAGCCTAGCTCTTCCCTTTCCAGGATAGATCTCCCCTACCAGCCTAGCTCTTCCCTTTCCTGGATAGATCTCCCTACCAGCCTAGCTCTTCCCTATCCTGGATAGATCTCCCCTACCAGCCTAGCTCTTCCCTATCCTGGATAGATCTCCCCTACCAGCCTAGCTCTTCCCTTTCCAGGATAGATCTCCCCTACCAGCCTAGCTCTTCCCTTTCCAGGATAGATCTCCCCTACCAGCCTAGCTCTTCCCCATCCTGGATAGATCTCCCCTACCAGCCTAGCTCTTCCCCATCCTGGATAGATCTCCCCTACCAGCCTAGCTCTTCCCTTTCCAGGATAGATCTCCCCTACCAGCCTAGCTCTTCCCTTTCCAGGATAGATCTCCCCTACCAGCCTAGCTCTTCCCTTTCCAGGATAGATCTCCCCTACCAGCCTAGCTCTTCCCTATCCTGGATAGATCTCCCCCTACCAGCCTAGCTCTTCCCCATCCTGGATAGATCTCCCCTACCAGCCTAGCTCTTCCCTATCCTGGATAGATCTCCCCTACCAGCCTAGCTAGCCCCTATCCTTCCCTTTCCAGGATAGATCTCCCTACCAGCCTAGCTCTTCCCTTTCCAGGATAGATCTCCCCTACCAGCCTAGCTCTTCCCCATCCTGGATAGATCTCCCCTACCAGCCTAGCTCTTCCCTTTCCTGGATAGATCTCCCCTACCAGCCCTAGCTCTTCCCTTTCCAGGATAGATCTCCCCTACCAGCCCACCAGCTCTTCCCTATCCTGGATAGATCTCCCTACCAGCCCTAGCTCTTCCCTATCCTGGATAGATCTCCCCTACCAGCCTAGCTGGTATGGACACGTCTTGGATTATTCCGAAATATTATAGTGCAGTCTGACACAGAGAGTCAAAGAGCGTTCTGAAAGCTGTTTATGGATATAAAAAGGAGGTTAGATTTTTACTTGGTCTCTCACATAACATCTGATATTACAAGAAAACCAGTTGTGCGGAGATCACTTTTCACCCCAGATACTCAGCCTAGGCATATTTTGGAAGCTTGATCGCTGTTGCTGTTAGGTGAATATTATCACAGTGAATATTCACTGTTTTTATAAAACATTGCAAGATATTGTAGTCATGTGCACTGATTTGAAAACTTAGCTTATTGATGCAAATTGTTTCACACCTCTTTGTTGTTTTGTTGGTGTTCACCAAGTTCTGGTACGGATTGATTTCAACTTCTGAGCCGACTGTTTTATATTCGTGATGTTAATGTCAATACATACACTAAGAACTTTGTTAAGCACCCCCTGAAATATCTCACGGTTGAATGAGCCCCGATCTTAACACTTTGGAACAAATCTGGGACATGATTGGTCGTCGTGTGCAAGAAAGGGATCCTCCTGTACATAACTTGGCCCAATTGGAAGCTGTTTTACACGAGGAATGGCATAGACTGCCGCTTGAGGGGATCAGGAGGCTGACAGGGGTACAAGGAGGAGTGTGCCGGCGGTCATACAGTCACATGGAGGTTACTTCGGTATTGACCTTGCATTGTGTAAGACACGAAAACATTACAGTTTTAATGTTCAAGTAGTATATATAATGGGGGTATGAGATCAAGTCCAACAAAAGCCTCTGCAAAGCTTTATTTCACAAATAAAGCTTTTGTCAGGCCCTTAGATCCCGCCCCAGTATATCTACTACTTTTGAGCCCCAAGTCAACTTCTCGGCCACACGTGGCACTATAGAAAGATAGAAAGGTTCTAAAAGTAGTAAAATGTCCCCGGCAGCCACAATTCCCCAACTATTCCCCTTCGAAGATCAAAAAAAAGGGGCGACGACCAGCTCGTTGCTACCGCTACTGTAAAAACAAGCCCTATCCTAAGTCACGGTTTTGCCGTGGTGTCCCAGATCCAAAGATCCGAATCTTTGATTTGGGTAGGAAGAAGGCTCGCGTTGATCTCATACCCCCATTATATATACTACTGTTCACATTCACCAATAAATTCAACATTGACATTCCAGTGCCATACTTGTACAGACATGGTTTTGTTTGAAAATCAATGTGTTAGTTTTGAAAAGAGCAATTATCATAATAAAATCAGCATGGATTCCAATGGTATCGACTTTTTTAAGAGTGTAAGGGTCATACGGGTCAGAAAAGCTCATGTTTTTCCATTATAGTCATCACGAGAAGTGTTATATGTGTGTGTTGAAAACCTATCATTGCACAAATACAGGGGGGTGCTTAATTCAGTTATTAAGTATATTACCATGGTTACTTTTCAAACACACTCCATGAACAACACGAAACCAGTCAGCAGGTAGGTTATGTTTAACATCGACTGGTTATGCTCTGATACATTCACAAGATCCTATAATGACTTGGCGTGCCTGCTCAAGGTCTTTGTGGTTTGAATTTGTTGGGTGGTGGTGTAAGCTTTATGTAATATTCGCGGCTTTTAACACTTCCATTCTATCGTGAGTATTGGCGGTTTGAATATCCAATTGTGTTGTGAGAACAGTCACTAGTGACTCCCCTTACACGGACTAGCTTTGGACGCTGAAGTAAGCATGTGCTTGTACCAGTGCGGACTGCAACCAGCGTAACGGTTGACTGGCACCCCAAGCAGCAGTGGTGTATGTAGTTTGTTTTTGTAAAATCAAAAAGAAGTTTATTGGACCAGGCCAAAATACCAGGGAGAGTTTTACATATAATCAGATCAATGTTAAACACTCGATCTCACATTAGACTATTTTAAGTTTAGAATAGAAAACTGACTGACTGAGTTTAGTTTTACGCCGCTTTTAGCAATATTCCAGCAATATCACGGCGGGGGACACCAGAAATGGGCTTAACACATTGTGCCCATGTGGGGAATCGAACCCGGGCCTTCGGCGTGACGAGCCAACGCTTTAACCACTAGGCTACCCCACCGCCCAGAATAGAAAACGTTTTACCTCGTAACCAGATTTCCATTGACATAACATAGCACAGAAAGGTGCATTAGCAGCTGAGTGCATAAAACAATCTGATACAGCATACTGGATGACGGACATGATCCTGACACGGCGTATAGCATGACATGTTGTACACCTGTACCTGTCAACATGACTCACATGGCAAGTCCCTGGTGGATACCAAAACTTCCAAATGTATCCTGTATATCTTCATGTTATGTTGAGAGCGCATCGCCAAAGTGTTCACATATTCTTTGATTTTGATGTTTATCGTCTTCGTGGTTTGGAAGAACCATTGTCCACAGAATTCCTTCCAGACCTCTTACTGTATGCAGCAATGGTTTTATTACAGTATTGTTCACAGATGTCTATCAGCAAACAACTCATTCTCAAAAATGAATTATATAGACGAAAATGTATGTCCATTTTTAAAAAATAGAAAGAGAAACTATCGCAGATGTATTTTACAGTTTCCAATACTAAAGGAAGAGTGGAAACAAGCCGAATCCACAAATCGAACTTAATCAGATACAAATAATATGTGGATACCTGGACAATGGAAATGATGTACTCAGCCTTATCATAATAATCACAAACATTTACCAAGTGCGATAAAGATACAGACAACTTCACATTAATCATGTACAAAAAGTATTTTAAAAAGCAGTTTCAGAATCAGTGACTAAAGTTTGGAAATACATTTCTTTCAGAATAGGGCGTCGATGATGATGAATCAAGTAACAGACATCTGCAAATCTCTAGCCAACCTGATCAAGAAGGAAGGGACTGAGAAGAGAGCAGTAGTGGATACACTTCATACACTGGCTTCGGAAGTCGACAAGCAGGTTCTAAATGCTCGAATTGCTAAAACCAGCTTTGCATCCACTGGCATAATTGGTTCTGGATTGGCCATTGCTGGTGTTATAGCAGCTCCATTCACTTTCGGGGCTTCTCTGGGTCTGACTATAGCAGGTGCGGTTGTTGGGTTGTCCAGCGGTGTGGGGATTGACCACGACAATCGTAGACAGCCTTCAGAACAGTAGCAAAACCAAGGCGGCGAATACAGCAGCCACCAAATACATTGGCACTTTGGACCAGATTGTAACACAGATTGAGGATATCAAGAGAGACTGGAATCCACAAACAGAGCATTACTTCATGCAAGCGATTCGCAATATTTCTGACGTAGATGCATGTAGGATCCTTGAAACAGTTATTCAGAGTATTAAAACTACAGCTGAGGTGGGTGAAGCTGCTGCCAGGGTGACCGCTGCTGCCGCTGCCATAGCTGCTAGAACAACTGTGGCCGCTGCAGCAAGAACAGTAGCAGGTGTTTTGAAGGCAGGTCTATTTGCTGCCAAAATCGGAGGAGCAGTAGTTTCAGCGATATTGATACCCGTCGACGTAGTTACCATCTATAGGAACAGTAAGGCGATACATTACAAGGAGGAATCAGAAGCGGCCAAACATATTCGAAAATTGGCAAAGGAAATACAGGCTATCCAAATTTTTGCGACTTCAGGTAATTTTTGTAATATTTGTAACAAAATCTTGATTGTAAAGTGTTTTCTCGCACCGAAACAGTGTTATCTCACAGCGATGTATTCAATACTTCAATGTACTTCAATACACCTCCTAACAAAGTTTGATGATTATCAATCACAAATATACTTTTCCAGAAATCAATCCATCAGATACTGGTTTGGATGAGGCCAGAGATTTGAGACGGCAGTTGGAGAATTTGCAAAACAAGGTGTCTAAAAATGCTGCTGAAAGAGAGGCAGCAGAAAGGGAAAGGCAACAGATTGAATACAAACTGCGTAGGCAAACTTCAAACATTTCCGAAGCTGTACTGACAGCCCTCGAGAAGATACCCCATGAGCTGACCCAGTTGTCTAATTTGTCCACAAAAATAATCTCACAAGCGACACAGCTAAAACTTGTGTGTTGTTTTCTTGAACTGGCTGGGTGCCTAGGGCTAATATGTCATATAGTGGCTGTTGCTGCTGGTTCTGGCTCGGCTCCAGTAGAGAATGCGTCTCATGCTGTGATCATCATCGGAGGGGTGATGGGACTAGTTGCAGAGCTATACACTGAAATGTTTCAGTTTTACAGATGGAGAGAAGCAGTATCAGTGGTAGACAAGTATTTGTTTGCTGCCATAACTCTTAGTAGAGTACGTGCAGGAGGGGGATGATGACGTCAAGGAGGATGAAATCAGAGGAAGGTTGGCAAGGCGTTCAGACGACATCAACCAGCGTAAGATCACCGTCCTTCGTATTTTGAAAACGCTTATTGATATCATTTCTGCCTTGCTACTTGGGAGAACAGAGCTGATGACGGTGGGCCAACAGTATTTAGGAATAGAAGGAAGGGGTGCAGCTTATAACCTTGCTCTGGGCGGCCCAATGACTACTGCTGTTGGTTTCCTTTTGGACAAACCTGATGCTGAGCATGTGATTGAATCCTTCAGGGAGATAGCTGTGGGAGGATCACTGCTCCTGCTGCTTACTTCCACTATAACATTGTACATAGGAATCGTGCACTGGCGTCAGTGGTGCAGGGACGAAGCTACAGGGGCTAGCACACTGTCGGACCAAATTCTCCTCCTGTCGTTTGCTGCTAACATGGAGGCTATGGAAATAGGGCTACTTGAAGTTGAAGAGGAAGACCAGTTGTAGTTTCAGTACAAAAACATTTAACAACCGACAGAGAATTCTTCTGTGAATAGTGAAATGACAATTTCCTGTAATATGGCTCGTATGTGTTTTATCATCAGGAAAGGGTGGGCTTGGGCACGTAAGGCCAGCATGGATTGTGTGACAGGGTAGTAATTTGTACAGTCAGCCAGAATCAACATCACGTGTCCACATGAGTTCACAAATGAACCGATACTAGGAAACATCTCACGCTGATTGGCTGTCCCGGAACTGACCGGCTATCCTTCAAGTAAAGAGAAAAATGAATATCTCAGACCGTAAGATACTGTGTGAGGAGAGGAGTATGACGGAGACAACGTGAGATGTGGCGTGGCACAGCCGTGACATCAACTTCAAAGGCCCCTTCCGCTCCGTGAGAGAAACCATCTCCTCCGTGTGAGAGATGTCACGCCTTACACAGGAAATGTCCAGAAGTGGAACAAAGTGCACTGACATTGATTCTCATGAAGAAATGTCATGTATGTATCTGATTGCATTGTATAATCTTAGAGACAGTAGAGTTTCCCTTCATTGTTGCTGTTTATTTCATTGCTTTAGTATCTAATTTTTATTCATTACATTTATTATATTGTCTGCATGGGTTGAGGCATTCCCTGATCTTGGTACTTCAGCTCTATAAAAGCTGCACTTCAAACACACCACAGGCACACCACAATCTGGACTACAGTGACGAATAGCATTGGTTTGTCAGACTGGGTGACTGTCATCAAAGGTGATGCACATTGCTGTGCAGTGTCCCGTGGTTTTGCGTCATACCTGTGACTGGGTTTGAATCCTGGTTTACCCCAGTTTCCATGCTTGTGTTGTAAGCTGTAGTGAAATATATCATTTTAGGCATTTCTCCAATACTTGGACGACATGCAGTGTTCTGAAGTGCGATTAAACCACACTTGTTTGCTCAACTATTTGGTGGATCGCCTCCGTTGTGTGGATCGACTCTGCATATTAAATCCCTTAAAACTAAATGCCTGAAGGCACTCGATTTATTGAAAGTCGTTTCTAATTCAAAGACTTTTGTCTTGGGTAATTCCGAACATCTCCTATTGACAGTCTCTATGTCGAGGCAGATGAACAATCTCTTACCCAACGCCGTATAAAATTATCATTACAATATATTACCAAACTATATTCTAATGAGTCTAATCCTGCATTTCACTGTATCTTTAATCCTGTTTATGAGGATTTGTACAACAGGAAACCTTCTCTTGTTCCGCCTCTTGGGCTCAGGATTAAGCCATCCATTACTGCTGCCAGCATTGGGCTGGAAAATATATCTCCTTCCCGTCTTCTTTCTCCTCCTCCTTGGCAATTGGTTAGGCCACAAGTCGACCTAACACTCACTAAGTTTTAAAAAATCAGAAACTAATGACTTACAATATAAACAATAAAATACTCAATTAAAAAGTAAATATAATACATATAAATGCTTATTTACAGATGGGTCCAAGGATGGCGGCGCAGTGGCTTGTGCCACTGTCATTGGGTCCTGAACAATAACTTCCAGATTACCCAATGACAGTCCAATTTTCACAGCAGAAGCAAACGCAATACTAACAGCTCTTAAATATGTAAATAGACACCCTAAATATAAACAATATATCATATTTTCAGACTCTCTTTCTTGCCTTCAGGCTATTAAAAATGTTTATTGTAAACATCCACTTTTAATAGAAATTATAGAATTATATAATGATCTTGCAACTGGCCAATACGACATCGTCCTCTGTTGGTTACCCAGCCACGTTGGCATTTCTGGGAATACAATGGCTTATCTTGCTGCAAAGGCAGCGCTCAACAAATCTGTGACACCACTTCTTATTCCATACTCTGATTACAAAGCTAGCATTAGAACCTACATCCGTGATCTGATGCAAAAGAAGTGGGACACCGAAGTAGGTATATAAATAACATGCAATGAACCAACTATCGGTTACACCTACTTGGGTTGTCAGTCAAGATTTGAAGAGGTCATCATGCGACAATGTCGTATTGGCCACACAAGATATACTCATGAGTACTTATTAAAAGGTGAGGATCCTCCGTTTTGTATCCCTTGTGATGAAAAAATCACGGTCAAGCATATCCTGCTTGACTGTGTTGAATATTCCATCCCAAGGGATAACTATTTTAAATCTCGAACTATGAAGGATCTTTTTAGTAATGTCAGTTCTCATTTAATTATTGCTTTTTAAAAAGAATTAGATTTGTTAAATGATTTGTAAATAGATAATTGGTATTTTAAACATTGTAGTATAAATTTGCAACTGCGATTGTTAGTGGCTGTATCCTCAAAGGGGGTTGAAGTAGCGTAAAATTATTGTCCTCCTGATAGGGTACGTAAGTTCCAAAACTTTCAAAGTTAAATTTTTGCTTACCCGAGTTTTAAACGTAGTATATTTGTCCCTTTAACTTTCGGCTAAACTTGTCCTACAATCGCCAGCGGCTGAAGGGATGGTGTAAATCCAACTAGGGTCCATGCAGGTAGCAAAGGCACTGTAAGTCCCCATGATCCCTAGTATGGTGATCTACCTTCAGTTGTTGGCGATCTATAGCCCATTTTAACATTGTATTGTCCAGACATAATTTTCTACCTTTAAAGATATATGCTAGCTAGTTTTAACTCAAACTGTGATAATCTAGTGGTTTTACTGTCCTTCGTTGACAGGTAACATATGTTATATTTGGGATTACACTTTCTTAGTAAAGTACAAATTCTAGTACTTTTTGAGTTGAGCCCCATCCGGGATTCGAACTCACACCCTCAGAGTCAGGCACCTAATCGCCAGCACACAAAGTCAGCCGCCTAACCCGCTCAGCTACCGCGACTTCCACAAAAATGGAAGTCGGACAACTGGTAGTCTAGACTGCAGACTTTGTGTACCCCTCTGATAAGTGTTAATAGGCACGTCTCCCACGGCCGAAAGCTATGATTACACAATGCCATTTAGAAAGTGGTCAAATGTAACATATGTTATATTTGGGATTACACTTTCTTAGTAAAGTACAAATTCTAGTATTTTTTGAGTTGAGCCCCATCCGGGATTCGAACTCACACCCTCAGAGTCAGGCACCTAATCGCCAGCTGTTTATGGATATAAAAAGGAGGTTAGATTTTTACTTGGTCTCTCACATAACATCTGATATTACAAGAAAACCAGTTGTGCGGAGATCACTTTTCACCCCAGATACTCAGCCTAGGCATATTTTGGAAGCTTGATCGCTGTTGCTGTTAGGTGAATATTATCACAGTGAATATTCACTGTTTTTATAAAACATTGCAAGATATTGTAGTCATGTGCACTGATTTGAAAACTTAGCTTATTGATGCAAATTGTTTCACACCTCTTTGTTGTTTTGTTGGTGTTCACCAAGTTCTGGTACGGATTGATTTCAACTTCTGAGCCGACTGTTTTATATTCGTGATGTTAATGTCAATATATACACAAAGAACTTTGTTATATAAATTAAGCATCACCTGAAATATCTCACGGTTGAATGAGCCCCGATCTTAACACTTAGGAACAAATCTGGGACATGATTGGTCGTCGTGTGCAAGAAAGGGATCCTCCTGTACATAACTTGGCCCAATTGGAAGCTGTTTTACACGAGGAATGGCATAGACTGCCCTTTGAGAGGATCAGGAGGCTGACAGGGGTACAAGGAGGAGTGTGCCGGCGGTCATACAGTCACATGGAGGTTACTTCGGTATTGACCTTGCATCGTGTGAGACACGAAAACATTACAGTTTTAATGTTCACATTCACCAATAAATTCACATTAACATTCCAGTGCCATACTTGTACAGACATGGTTTTGTTTGAAAATCAATGTGTTAGTTTTGAAAAGAGCAATTATCATAATAAAATCAGCATGGATTCCAATGGTATCGACTTTTTTAAGAGTGTAAGGGTCATACGGGTCAGAAAAGCTCATGTTTTTCCATTATAGTCATCACGAGAAGTGTTATATGTGTGTGTTGAAAACCTATCATTGCACAAATACAGGGGGTGCTTTATTCAGTTATTAAGTATATTACCATGGTTACTCTTCAAACACACTCCATGAACAACACGAACACAGCGCCACAATACAACCATTCATCTCGGCGAGTTGCACAATCCAGAGAGAAACCTGATATCATGTCCAGGATTCAGTACGTTGTGGACGTGTCACTGCAGGTGGGTTGACACTTTATACCTTCATTTCAGACTGCTATAACATTTCACTGCATGGTGAGGTCTTACCTATCCTGGACAGATCTTGTTATTTGTGCATGGCTGCTGAAGAAAACGTACATCAAAGCAAACCAGTCAGCAGGTAGGTTATGTTTAACATCGACTGGTTACGCTTTGATACATTCACAAGATCCTATAATGACTTGGCGTGCCTGCTCAAGGTCTTTGTGGTTTGAATTTGTTGGGTGGTGGTGTAAGCTTTATGTAATATTCGCGGCTTTTAACACTTCCATTCTATCGTGAGTATTGGCGGTTTGAATATCCAATTGTGTCCCCTTACACGGACTAGCTTTGGACGCTGAAGTAAGCATGTGCTTGTACCAGTGCGGACTGCAACCAGCGTAACGGTTGACTGGCACCCCAAGCAGCAGTGGTGTATGTAGTTTGTTTTTGTAAAATCAAAAGAAGTTTATTGGACCAGGCCAAAATACCAGGGAGAGTTTTACATATAATCAGATCAATGTTAAACACTCGATCTCACATTAGACTATTTTAAGTTTAGAATAGAAAACGTTTTCCCCTCGTAACCAGATTTCCATTGACATAACATAGCACAGAAAGGTGCATTAGCAGCTGAGTGCATAAAACAATCTGATACAGCATACTGGATGACGGACATGATCCTGACACGGCGTATAGCATGACATGTTGTACACCTGTACCTGTCAACATGACTCACATGGCAAGTCCCTGGTGGATACCAAAACTTCCAAATGTATCCTGTATATCTTCATGTTATGTTGAGAGCGCATCGCCAAAGTGTTCACATATTCTTTGATTTTGATGTTTATCGTCTTCGTGGTTTGGAAGAACCATTGTCCACAGAATTCCTTCCAGACCTCTTACTGTATGCAGCAATGGTTTTATTACAGTATTGTTCACAGATGTCTATCAGCAAACAACTCATTCTCAAAAATGAATTATATAGACGAAAATGTATGTCCATTTTTAAAAAAATAGAAAGAGAAACTATCGCAGATGTATTTTACAGTTTCCAATACTAAAGGAAGAGTGGAAACAAGCCGAATCCACAAATCGAACTTAATCAGATACAAATAATATGTGGATACCTAGACAATGGAAATGATGTACTCAGCCTTATCATAATAATCACAAACATTTACCAAGTGCGATAAAGATACAGACAACTTCACATTAATCATGTACAAAAAGTATTTTAAAAAGCAGTTTCAGAATCAGTGACTAAAGTTTGGAAATACATTTCTTTCAGAATAGGGCGTCGATGATGATGAATCAAGTAACAGACATCTGCAAATCTCTAGCCAACCTGATCAAGAAGGAAGGGACTGAGAAGAGAGCAGTAGTGGATACACTTCATACACTGGCTTCGGAAGTCGACAAGCAGGTTCTAAATGCTCGAATTGCTAAAACCAGCTTTGCATCCACTGGCATAATTGGTTCTGGATTGGCCATTGCTGGTGTTATAGCAGCTCCATTCACTTTCGGGGCTTCTCTGGGTCTGACTATAGCAGGTGCGGTTGTTGGGTTGTCCAGCGGTGTGGGGGGATTGACCACGACAATCGTAGACAGCCTTCAGAACAGTAGCAAAACCAAGGCGGCGAATACAGCAGCCACCAAATACATTGGCACTTTGGACCAGATTGTAGCACAGATTGAGGATATCAAGAGAGACTGGAATCCACAAACAGAGCATTACTTCATGCAAGCGATTCGCGATATTTCTGACGTAGATGCATGTAGGATCCTTGAAACAGTTATTCAGAGTATTAAAACTACAGCTGAGGTGGGTGAAGCTGCTGCCAGGGTGACCGCTGCTGCCGCTGCCATAGCTGCTAGAACAACTGTGGCCGCTGCAGCAAGAACAGTAGCAGGTGTTTTGAAGGCAGGTCTATTTGCTGCCAAAATCGGAGGAGCAGTAGTTTCAGCGATATTGATACCCGTCGACGTAGTTACCATCTATAGGAACAGTAAGGCGATACATTACAAGGAGGAATCAGAGGCGGCCAAACATATTCGAAAATTGGCAAAGGAAATACAGGCTATCCAAATTTTTGCGACTTCAGGTAATTTTTTGTAATATTTGTAACAAAATCATGATTGTAAAGTGTTTTCTCGCACCGAAACAGTGTTATCTCACAGCGATGTATTCAATACTTCAATGTACTTCAATACACCTCCTAACAAAGTTTGATGATTATCAATCACAAATATACTTTTCCAGACATCAATCCATCAGATACTGGTTTGGATGAGGCCAGAGATTTGAGACGGCAGTTGGAGAATTTGCAAAACAAGGTGTCTAAAAATGCTGCTGAAAGAGAGGCAGCAGAAAGGGAAAGGCAACAGATTGAATACAAACTGCGTAGGCAAACTTCAAACATTTCCGAAGCTGTACTGACAGCCCTCGAGAAGATACCCCATGAGCTGACCCAGTTGTCTAATTTGTCCACAAAAATAATCTCACAAGCGACACAGCTAAAACTTGTGTGTTGTTTTCTTGAACTGGCTGGGTGCCTAGGGCTAATATGTCACATAGTGGCTGTTGCTGCTGGTTCTGGCTCGGCTCCAGTAGAGAATGCGTCTCATGCTGTGATCATCATCGGAGGGGTGATGGGACTAGTTGCAGAGCTATACACTGAAATGTTTCAGTTTTACAGATGGAGAGAAGCAGTATCAGTGGTAGACAAGTATTTGTTTGCTGCCATAACTCTTAGTAGAGTACGTGCAGGAGGGGATGATGACGTCAAGGAGGATGAAATCAGAGGAAGGTTGGCAAGGCGTTCAGACGACATCAACCAGCGTAAGATCACCGTCCTTCGTATTTTGAAAACGCTTATTGATATCATTTCTGCCTTGCTACTTGGGAGAACAGAGCTGATGACGGTGGGCCAACAGTATTTAGGAATAGAAGGAAGGGTGCAGCTTATACCCTTGCTTTGGGCGGCCCAATGACTACTGCTGTTGGTTTCCTTTTGGACAAACCTGATGCTGAGCATGTGATTGAATCCTTCAGGGAGATAGCTGAGGGAGGATCACTGCTCCTGCTGCTTACTTCCACTATAACATTGTACATAGGAATCGTGCACTGGCGTCAGTGGTGCAGGGACGAAGCTACAGGGCTCTAGCACACTGACGGAACAAATGCGCCAACTCTCGTTTGATGCTGCGGTGGTGGCTATGGAAATAGGGCTACTTGAAGTTGAAGAGGAAGACCAGTTGTAGTTTCAGTACAAAAACATAACAACCGAAAGAATATAGTGAAATGACACCGTAATAGGCTCGTAGAATTCTTAGTCTGTCCCATACCCTGAAATTATTTCAATTCTCATGTAAAATATGGCAAGTCTAGCGTCTACCTAGGGCTCCTTTTCGATATAAATGGGCTCATCAAGGAAATATTGGGCTTTAGTCTAGTGTTTTATCATCAGTAAAGGGTGAGCTTGCACAAGGCCAGCATGGATTGTGTGACAGGGTAGAAATTTGTACAGTCAGCCAGAATCAACATCACGTGTTCACATGAGTTCACAAATGAACCGATACTAGGAAACATATCACGCTGATTGGCTGTCTCAGAACTGACCGGCTTTCCTTCAAGTAAAGAGAGAAAATGAATATCCCAGACCGTAAGATGCTGTGTGAGGGGAGGAGTATGACCGAGACAACGTGAGATGTGGCGTGGCACAGCCGTGACATCAACTTCAAAGGCCCCTTCCGCTCCGTGAGGGAAACCATCTCCTCCGTGTGAGAGATGTCACGCCTTACACAGGAAATGTCCAGAAGTGGAACAAAGTGCACTGACATTGATTCTCATGAAGAAATGTCATGTATGTATCTGATTGCATTGTATAATCTTAGAGACAGTAGAGTTTCCTTTTCATTGTTGCTGTTTATTTCATTGCTTTAGTATCCAATTTGTATTCATTGCATTTATTACTGTGGGTGGTGGAACTGTTGGTATTACATTAGCAGTGTAAATATTAGCAAGATGTTCTGTCAATTGAGAAATATCAGATTTTATTGTTATCAGGTGATGGTGTTTTATGTATTTATAAAGTTATGCAAATAAAGAGTATAAACTGCTGATCTCCAAAAATATGTTTAAAGCTTTTATTTTACACATACAAATGCAACCCACCCCACCCCACCCCCCCCCCACACACACACACCACACCACACCACCCCACACCACACACACACACACACACACACACACACACACACACACACACAAAACATAATTCAGACACAATTATCACTTTCATGATATATTATATACATTGCTGATTAGGAAAAAACATATAAACTAAATTATAAGCGTACAATCGCAAATCAAAAGTGCAATATTTTGTACTTGGGTTTATTCCCTCGAAACGAAGTACCCGGGATACCGAACCCAGTCAGAGCGGATGGGCGTGCACTGAAGTGAAACTGCTTTGGGCGGCCCAATGACTACTGCTGTTGGTTTCCTTTTGGACAAACCTGATGCTGAGCATGTGATTGAATCCTTCAGGGAGATAGCTGAGGGAGGATCACTGCTCCTGCTGCTTACTTCCACTATAACACTGTACATAGGAATCGTAGCACTGGCGTCAGTGGTGCAGGGACGAAGCTATAGGGTCTAGCACACTGACGGAACAAATGCGCCAACTCTCGTTTGATGCTGCGGTGGTGGCTATGGAAATAGGGCTACTTGAAGTTGAAGAGGAAGACCAGTTGTAGTTTCCAGTACAAAAAATATTTAACAACCGACAGAGAATTCTTCTGTGAATACTGAAATTACAATTTCCTGTAATATGGCTCGTACGTGTTTTATCATCAGGAAAGGGTGGGCTTGGGCACGTAAGGCCAGCATGGATTGTGTGACAGGGTAGAAATTTGTACAGTCAGCCAGAATCAACATCACGTGTTCACATGAGTTCACAAATGAACCGATACTAGGAAACATATCACGCTGGTTGGCTGTCCTGGAACTGACCGGCTATCCTTCAAGTAAAGAGAAAATGAATATCTCAGACCGTAAGATGCTGTGTGAGGGGAGGAGTATGACCGAGACAACGTGAGATGTGGCGTGGCACAGCCGTGACATCAACTTCAAAGGCCCCTTCCGCTCCGTGAGGGAAACCATCTCCTCCGTGTGAGAGCTGTCCCGCCATACACAGGAAATGTCCAGAAGTGGAACAAAGTGCACTGACATTGATTCTCATGAAGAAATGTCATGTATGTATCTGATTGCATTGTATAATCTTAGAGACAGTAGAGTTTCCTTTTCATTGTTGCTGTTTATTTCATTGCTTTAGTATCCAATTTGTATTCATTGCATTTATTACTGTGGGTGGTGGAACTGTTGGTATTACATTAGCAGTGTAAATATTAGCAAGATGTTCTGTCAATTGAGAAATATCAGATTTTATTGTTATCAGGTGATGGTGTTTTATGTATTTATAAAGTTATGCAAATAAAGTGTATAAACTGCTGATCTCCAAAAATATGTTTAAAGCTTTATTGGTTAAAGGTCAAATGCACCCCACCCCACCCCCACCCCCCCACCCACACACACACCACACCACCCCACACCACACCCCACACCCCACCCCACACCACACACACACACACACACACACACACACAAAACATAATTCAGACACAATTATCACTTTCATGATATATTATATACATTGCTGATTAGGAAAAAACATATAAACTAAATTATAAGCGTACAATCGCAAATCAAAAGTGCAATATTTTGTACTTGGGTTTATTCCCTCGAAACGAAGTACCCGGGATACCGAACCCAGTCAGAGCGGATGGGCGTGCACTGAAGTGTAACGAAAACTTTCTTTGGCTGGTTCATTTGCCTATACACTCTTTGAGTGTGTATAGATATGTTGGGTTTTGTAAATACATGATCATTTTTTGTGTAACACTTTGCAATCAACAGACATCACAACATGTCATGTGTACAAGTATCACACCTGCCTGTCTGTGTAATTACATAATGTGACAGAGACCGAACTCGGGTGCACGAGCCCTAAATCAGGGAGACTCTAAAAGGGGAGTGGTCACTCCTCGGAAAACCCCCTAAGCTATGCCTCGGCTCGTCACGTGACCAGTGTAGCCAATATGGCGGCAGCGTAGTTTATAAGATTGAGCCCGGTTTATTTTCAACAGCTGATTATATACGATGAGTGTTGTGACAATTGAAAACCTACATGAAGAAGATAAGTTACCTATTCTGTCACTTCATTTTAAGTAAAATAATTGTTATTAGTGTCAGTATTAGCAGGCATACTCTACAACAGGGATAGGTCACTCGCTTGCTTTCTTTACCATTTGTACTAATTAACGTGTGCCTCGTCATGCTCCAACGTACACAGTGACTTGGTTCGGTCCCAGCGCAACTTCTTCGGCTGCCAGTGTATTGTATCAGTCGGAATTTTACAATGAATGAATGAAGAGCAAAAATCTTATGTGAATGAATGAAAGAAATTAAGAAAAGAACAAAAGAAAAAGAACATATGTGAATGAATGAAAGAATAAATGATACACCACGGCCATCCCTCCCCAAACATGTTAAAGAACGCAAAACTATCGGTAGAACACGTGTTAACATCAGCTGTCCTTTTTCAAAAGAAAATTACTTTCAGACATTTACTAACAATTTTTTTTAAATTATAAAACTATTACTATTACTTGCAAACACCTTTCACCTGATGGTATATTCCCTCATAAAAAAGTAAAGGTGTATGTGAAAGATGTTTTTGAACAATAACTAGAAACACCCAAACAACGCCCTGTAGTATTTCAATGGCAGATCGGCGATATGTCATCTTTTTCACACACCTCGAATACACACTAACAATTTTTTAAATTATAAACCTATTACTATTACTTCTGTTACAGCTGGTTAAACACCAAGTAATGTCAAAGGATCACATGACTCGCTGTAGGGTTGAGGTGCGGTTTATTCAGATACTATATATCATACTTCAAGCCCTGAAACACACATAAAATTCTTAGAAACATGTACACATTGCATAATGTTTTGCATAGGTATCACAATTAGCTTACCACAATTAATTCTGTAGTCTAACATTTACACATGTGAATTATACCACATTATAAACTGTTAAAGGAAATATTAATAGCATGAAATATATGCACAACGTTATGACACTGTTAATTCATTGCCAAATAACACATTTGCCCAAATAA